CCCCCCCCCCCTTTTGACGCAATAGCATTGTAAACTGCATATGTGTAATAGTAATAACCTTCTCCCAGTCTCAGCAAGTATTTTATTACTTTGATACACTTTGACACTCTGTTTTACTGGTCTTTTTAAAAAGTTTATTGAGGTCTCTTGTACACTTTTCAGTATATTAGATCAGCGTAAGCTCTGTGGGATTAGTGCTAGCAGATTCTTCCTTCAGCAGTACATTTGATATTAAGTGTCTTTCTGTATTGCAGCTGCCATTCCCCTTGTGGATCCGGAACTGAAGTTGTTGCCTCTGCACTTTTATGTGGACCCAGGACCTCATGTAGACTGGAGCAAAAACTTGGTCCTGGAGCCTAGCCTGGAGGACAGAATCAATCTGCTGCAAAAGTTTATGGAAGTTGAGCGCATCCCTTTTCGAACCACTGACCTCAACGGTGACAGTGATCGTGGTTCATGTGGTTCACAAGACTCGGACGAAAGTGGTGCCATCCTACGTGACAAGGACAAGAAGAAAGAGGATAAAAAGAAAGATGCTCGCATGTCACAGCAAATGCAGTCTGTTGCTAAACAGTTTGGTAGCATTGGAAAGAGCATGGGGAAAAAGTTGAAACAGCTTGGAAAAAGTGGGAAAGGAGATAAACCACGACGTCCAAGCGTTGGCAATGAGATAACGCAGAGCACAAGAGTTATCTCCTCTTTTGCAGGAAGTCAAGGCAGTGGTCGGGATTTTGTTCTCGTCGCAAATCTCTCGGAAAAACGAAGCCCCAACCACCAGAAAATGATCAAGAACTACTTGGAAGATGCCAAGGAACGTTTTCAGAGGGACAGGGAGCTGAAGAGGAAAAGTGATATTGAACTGAGGAGTCGAGTCTCCAATCCCAGTTCGGTATGCGGCACACCTGGTTGTAACGCTTATGGCACTGCTCAGAACGGTTATCTGTGCGGTTCATGCTACAGCGCTCAGCAGAGAGAGCAGAGCATTCAGCAGCGGGCTGGAGGTCAATACATATACAACACTTTTCCCGGCAGAGCTCGACTGCCAGCTGGTGGCACGTATCTGGCTCCGGAAGAAATATTCCGCTATGGAAAATCCAAATTCTACACATCAAGTAATGAAGATATAAATGAGCCTGCGCAGCCTGTGAACCTGGCTGTTTCTAGTATGGATCGTCAGACTTCGCAGTCCCACAACAATGTGAACTATCCCAGATGCCCTTCTCCAGACTATGACAATGCCAGCTCTGGCCAGCTAAGGGTCAATAACAGCAGTGTTCCCAATAACCAGCAAACTGTCAACAGAATGTCTGAAGATAAATGCAGAAATCCAAACTGCAGCTTTTTTGGAAGAGCGGAATGGTCGGGCTTCTGTTCAAAATGTTGGACTGCTATAAAACCTGCCAGCAATTCTGTGCGAAGCAGTACAAAGTTGTAATCAAGATCAAATTGAAAAAAACAAAAAAAACAACCCTTTTTTTCTTCTTGAAAGTGTTTTGCCACAGAGGTTTTTTAAATTAAGTTTTGAGCTCTTAAGGTAAGATTTTAACGTGAAACTTTGCCTTCGTTTTTTCTTTGTTATTAGTTCTTTTGCAGTGTGATGCATTGGGTGTTGTTTTGTTGCCAAATGCAACTGATGTTCATGTTGTCATTGTTGGCACATTGGCTGTGAAATGCACATCAAATTCAAGTTGTAAACTGAGTTCATGCAAGGTTGCAACTTGCAGACTTTGATAGGTGCATGTGTGTTACATTAGAGTTTCTTTGTAGAGCTGGTATTCTTAAGTATTTTTTTTTCCCCTTGTGCAAAGAAGTATGTAAATATTACCTTTCTTGCCATTGGCTGCTTGTGTGAAAGCTCACTCTCTTTTGTGGAATCTGGGAAGATAGCAAAGCTTGTTGGAATTTCATATCTTTCTGTTAAGCTTTCTTTTTCTCTAATTTTGTACATATTGTAACTTATTTATTGGGTCAATGTTTCTTCATTTCTCCACTGAGGGAAAAATGATGACAGAATGAATGTCATGAGAGAAAAAGGATGTGGCGCACGTGTTATTACTTTTGAATGAGTTGTTTGCACACGTATTGGGACAACATTTTCTCTTATTTGAAGATGGGCAGTAGAACCTGCCTTAACGGAAACCTGTGTAAAACAGAAACCTGTCTTAACGGAATCTCCTGGCTCCCTTCTTGATATATTCCTCTTTAATTACCTGTGTGAAACGGAAACCTGTCCAATGCGGAAAAGGAAAAAAAAATCCGCTCCGTTCTGAGGGTTTTACCGGTCTAAGACGAAAAATGCTTAGCCTGTTCAGTCGTGATTTGAAACAAAACTCGCAAGTTTGGTTCCGTCCGCCGGCTCTAAACTTAATGCCATGCTGCCAGGCGAGGAAGGGGAGTAGGGGTGCAATTTGGGGGTAGATGTTACCCCATCTATGTGAACAATGAAGAAGATCAGGGTGGTGTGGGTGTGAAATCTCACGAGTGCCAGTGAAAGTGCTCAAGTGGCGTTCCAGCATGGAAACTTTCATGGTATCCAGAGGTCAGAGGTGTGACATTAGTTTGACCAATGCCTGCCGCCCTGATCGTACAGCCAGCTGAGAAAAGAGTTCCAACAACCCTTGTTACATGGCAGTGAGGGGTGGCGTTGGTTGACTGTGCTTGTTGCACCGATGGGTGGGGTAAGGGTGGAAGCAAAGGGGATGTTCAAACATTTCTGTTTTTAATAGGTCAAACAGTGGTCCTATGAAATGCAAGCACTGATGGTAATTCAATAAATAAGACTGACGCATGTCATTATCAGAGAAGATAGCAGCTGAGAGGTGTGAAGTTTTGACCACTTGTAATTGCTTGCCGACCGGGACCGGACAAGCGACCCTGATCCCACCGGCTGGGCCTTTGTACCCATCCCCTCTCCCAAATCTCCCCACTAAATTCCCCTGTCTAAGAAGGAAAATGTCTAAGACGGAATTTTTTTCTGGCTCCCTTGCTATTCAGTCTTACACAGGTTCGACTGTATTTGTAAATGAAGGTGTATGTGACACGGGAGATTTTTATGCGACTCTTGTACAGGATGTTTCTTGTATTTTTGCAAGGCTGGTCAAAGAAAAAGACAAAGAAATTAATGTTGTGAAAAAAAAAGTGTGGACTGAACTTTTGTGACATAAGCCTTTCCATACAACTTGCTCTCCATCTTTGTTTGATTGCCAAGAACAGTGCAGTTTCAGGAAAATAAGGATGGAAAAATCACTGCAGTCATCCTGAAATGAATGCTAGTTTCTTGAGGAAATGGAAAAGTGTGTGAGAGTAATCGGTTATTCATGTGATTTCTTTGCAAAAACATTTTTTTGGTGCTCTTCCTTAAGTGGAGCATAATTTCACCTCATATGCTGGTGTTTAGTTCACTTTCAATATCATTAATTGGTTCTCATGGTTTTGCTGACTGAAGAGTTGCTTTTAATTCTTTAGCCTTGCAGATTGCATTTTCTTTGTCAGATAGTGAAGCCATTCATTATTCATCATTGATCAGCTCCCTAAATCTATTTTTAGTTGTGAATTTCATTTCTAAGACTCGTGCACTTGTGGCTGCAGAAGTATTAGCATTACTTGATTATTTTCAACTGATCATACGTTTTTAGCTGGAAAGAAAAATGTTTTTTCTTTAATTGTTTTTGCCATTCAGCATTGTTTTGCTTATAGAACCCCAAACTCCGAACTTTACAGAGAGGCTGTATTTCAGCAAACGCTAAGTATTTTCCTCTTAAGTGAAGGTTGGTTTATGTCAACATGAAAAAAAAACACATGTCTTCTGTACTGATTTAAAGAAATTCACAGAAGTGACATTTTGTTCAGTGGATATGTGTATGTCCATGGGTGGAAATTCTGTCATGAGCTGTAATGGTTAGGTTCTTTGCTATTGCACGCAGAAGGTGTGAGTTCAGTTCCTACAGGGAGAAGTATATAATCAAGTACCTCTATCTGTTTGCTGGTATGTTTTATTCCATTCAGCTTTGGTTGGTTCCAACAGGCAAGGTCAAAGCTGTCGGCCTCCTTAATAAGCTATATATTTTTGAGGGGGGGGGGGGGGAGGCATTATATGTTTACAATCAATCATGGTAGGGGGTTGAGGTTTTTGTTTTGTTGAGCTAGTTTTTATGAAATGTAATTTGGCCGAAAGAGTTCAATGTGCTTTGAGCAAGTTCAGTTGTTGCTGGAGATGTTTTTGCTACTCTGTTTTCTGCATTGGTTTTCAATATTGTCGGAAGCAAATGATCCGTGTTGAGTTTCATATTGAGATTTGCCTTTTATAAAAAGGGCAGGGAAAGTACCAAAGATTCCAAACACATTGATGTCATCAATTTATGGCCCCAGGTTAATGTTTGTTGCTGCCCCACACCACTTTTTTAAATAGCTGAGTTTTATGTGAGATTTGCATTTAGTAGGGCTTCCACTTAAATTTGATATGAGTTGTTGGCTGATTTTTTTTTCTTCCCTTTTGAGATGGAAATTGTTTTCTTCACAATATTGGCTGATTCATAATTTCACAATATTCGCAGATTCATAATTTACTTGTATTAAACTTTCTTCCTTTGGTAGACTCTATCTGTGTGATTGCCATTATGTCTTCACTCTTGGTTGACATATCAATCTAATTCATTCCCTCATTTATTACCTTTGTAGAGGATGAATAAGGGAGTGAAAGTAGCATAGTAAATGATCCAATATATTTCTTCGCGTTGTTTCAAATTGTTAGCATGTGGCTTTTGTTATGTAGGAAAGTCGTTTTCTCTTGCTGCTTTGTATTATATTTGTATTAGGTGAACTGTGTGTCAGTCTCACGGCAAAGAAATGTTTGTGTCATGGGACTGCTTTGTGAGGTCTTCCAAACTGTTTCAGAAGCATATCTGTTCCTGTTTGTCGTGTTCTTTCAGACAGGACTACTCTGTTCTCACCAGGCAGTGTTTGTTGCATTGATATGTAGTTTATATTAATCATTAACACGTAAACATATCATGAAAATGTCAGCAATAACAAGTTACTTTTTTATTTTGATTTTTGTGAAGGGGGGGTATATGCTTGTACAGTAATGAGCTGCTCTGTATGACACGTGACACCAAGACACATGCTCACTGTATTTCTGAAGTTAAATGTGGAAGCAAAATGTATATTGTTGACGAACAAGGCTCTTCTCCTTCATTCTGTTTCCTTCACATGTTTTGGGCTGTTACTAACATCTTTCATTGTTTTGTAAATATAATGATGATACCCCCCCCTGAAAAAAATATGATATTACAATTCATCAGCGTCTGCTTTTCTCGGTGTGTTTTTTTCTTTTTTTTTTTCAAACTGTAAAGCCACATGATTAGAAGATTTAAAAACTCTTCTTTTGCAATGTACAGTATTGTTTACAATATAATATGTTAGTGATTTAGTCTGCGGATTATGTTGACCTTGTGAGCTCTATAGTGAGGTGTAGGATATGAAAGAGTCAGTTCTGTAGTCTGTAGGGTTTTATGGTTGACAGGTGACAAGGACATTTGCATGGTAATTATCTTTCACTTTCACTGAGGACAATGTCAAAGCTTAAGTCGCACACTAACATATAATGAAAAGGTATATTGTGAGGCAGCATGGTGCAGTCAGGCGCTCGTCAAAATAATGAAATTGAAGAAAATGGCATTTCCCTGCCAGTTTGGCTATTTTATTCGAATTCGACTATTTTTTTTTTTGGCCCAACATCTTTTATGTCTATTCAAGAGGACATTTCTGTGTGGATTTTACTGAAAAACGTTCACTAAAGGCACACAAAAAATTTAAGCTTCAAGTTGCCACGAGCTCTCAAGCTATGGAAATAACCAACTTTGGTGGTCATTTTCTCGCTAATTTAACATCTGAGACAATGCAGCTTCCACCCCCTTCAATTGTGGATATGTCGACCTCTGTTTAAGATAAATGGGGGTATTTTTTCATCGAAGTCAAAACAATTGGATAAGCTTTCAAATAATACCAATAATTCCACGTGCCAAAAAATTGACGAGGCTTGATTCCACCACGTCGTGACACATATACTTCATGAATTATTTTTCTCTATATTATTTATTGCTGTTGCCTTAGATTAGAAATGTGCTACCTTTACAGGCTCTCTCAAACCTAATTAATTTTTTACCCAACTTAGTGAAGGTTAGAAAATTGCTCGCACCGACCATATCCGATATCAAGAGGTCTGATGGTGGGGTGCAAGACTAGGAAGGAAATCAAATGAATATAGTTGTTCACAATACTTGATGGGTATGTAGTTAACTTGTACAGGTTAGTAACTCTTGTGTTAGCTTCACAGTATGTGATGTGTAGTCACACCATCGTCTGCTTGTGAGCTTTTGTATTTCCTGTACGAGAACCTCCGAGCCTTACCTTAGTTTGATGGTAACAAAAGGTTGTTTGAGTTTGGTGAAATTAATCTCATTAATAAGTCCTATCATGTGTCTTAGCTGTTTTTCAGTACATTTTGAGTGGGTACTGTTTGCTGGTGTTGATTTATTTGAAAAATCATTATCTTTTTCCAAAGTCAGCAAAGGGTAGGGCCTTCTCGTTGGTGGCTTCAATAGGTTGACGATAGCTGCCTTGTCAGCTTAAAGAACCAACTCAGATTTTATATTCACCTTCTGTACATGTCCATATACAGGTCTGCTCACAATAATGCTTGCCCACACAGAGACACATAGATTGGTGTACAGACACCAATGCTCAAAGCTTATGACCTTGCATTCCTCGCAAAGACTTTGCCATGTGTGTGAATTTTGCCATAAATGTGAATTTCGGTTATATAAATTCTTTTCCTTAGACTTTGCTCTTACCTCGAGAGTTCTGTGTGCTGAGAAATGACTTGCTGCTGTGCTATTTGATTTTTTTCCCTCAAAGCTGATTTTTTAAATATCTGTATGGATATGCTAGTCACTGTTTTTTCTCTCTTTGCACATGGTCTTTGAGTGTTTTTTTAGTCAGTTGATGGCATACTTTTATGTAATTTCAGTGAGCA